AACATAATTTATGTATTTAAAAATTGTATTTCCATCTTTGGCGATGAGTTTTTTTTTTTTGTTTTTTTTTTAGTTTTCCCAATACTTTGGGCAATATAGTGTATGTTTGGTGCGGTAGGGGGCCCATTCTCATATTCTTTCATAGGGCCCAAAATTGCTAGCGGCGCCCCTGTATATATGTATATATATATATTGATATTGATATTTAAGGCTAAGCATTTCCCATCATTTATAATTTTGTGATGCACATTCATTTTTTCTTTCTCTTTTAAGTTCTATATTTTTTTTTTTTCAATTTGTACTTACAAAATGTGTAAATGTGAGAAATATGTCAAGAACTTGCTGTTGAATTCTGTAATTCTGAAAGTTCAATAAAAAAATTAAATTAAATAAAACCTGAAATTGCGAGATTTCGAGGAAAACTTTCCAATGTAAGGTACATTAATTAGATATTACATATAATTTGGAAGTAAAATCCATTTTATTAGTGCAGAAATAATTATTTTTATTTATTTTGTAAAACATTTGCTACTGCTTTTTAGCACACACTAAGAAGCACTACAATTCAATTGTGTAGTCTGTTATAGCCTATAGGCACTACTGAACAGACAGGCTCATTTAAAGTGTAAAGTACTGAAAATGTGTAAATAAAGCTTTACTTGCATTTTTACAACGCGGTGTTGTAAGTGTGTCCCTTCAGGTAATCAAAAGTTTTACACACACTTGCAGTCTTGATGCACACTTGAACACTTACAAATACAAGAAATACATCATAAGTAGACAAGTGGTCAAGAGAAAAGACCGCAAGCCTAAAATCGCGAACGGCTTGTGGAAAAAAATTCTTTATTGCATCGCATTGTCCTTCACATAAAACCTTCCAATAAAGCCGTATGTAGACACAAATTGCTGTATGTAAAGTGTTGCAGGGGTGACAGTTTTTTGTAGGCCAAAACTCGGATGAATTATAATTTTAGCACTTCCGATTCCATCGTCCTGAAGTCAGTGGGTTTTTAGAAATGCAAACTTTAATAGAAAATGTTTTTTAAATAAAGACTGAAAGAGTTGTTGGAAGTTGTTTTGTCAAATGAACCGGACTGATGCAAACTACTGGATTGAACTACAAAAATATGTCATCACTACTACAGCACTTTTCTTAAGTGTTTTTATTGTAGCTTCAGTTTGTTTGTGCCATGATTCAGGTTATAACAACAGTCATTTACATATATATTTACAATAAATGATGCTAAAAGTCATGTCTTGCACGTGCTATTTCATATGTGTACCCTTACGAAAATAACCATGGTTTTATTATAGTAAAAGTGTAGAGACCATGTTTTTTGGCAGATTGATTACCATTTGAATAACAACAGTTTTACTACAAATACCATAGTTTAAACTATGGTTAGCATAGCAAAGCCATGGTTAATTTGTGGTTACCATGGTTTAACTACAATAACTATGTCTTTTGTTTTCATTAGTAGTAAAACCATGGTTAATTTTCATAAGGTTATATGAAGCTGGAATGCATAAATCATTCAAATATTTCCAGTAGACCTACGTTTTATTTGTAAGATTTCTGCCTTTCTGGTATAGAAGAAATGTTTTTTTTTTTTAAGTTTCTATTTAGTCTGTACTGTAGTACACTCGGTGAATTTTGAATCGAGAAGCAAATAAACCCAAAAACTACAGCCTGCGACTGTCTGTAAGCTATTCAGCAACCCCAAAGCACTTATAATAGGAAGACATGGCAACCGTACAACCAACAGCATTCCCTATAGCACAGCTGACTCGGTAGCCACGCCCCCTTTGTTTGACATCAAGCTCCTGGCAGCTCTGCGCAGTTTGCTTGAAATGCATCGTATGTGTGTTGTGTCACGTAGTATAGGCTACTTCACTTTTGCACAGAGTTTTGGTCGTGCTCCTCATTATGAAATGCATGGTTTATAAAAATAGCAACGGAGGATCTTCAGATGCGTCGTAAACCGAAACACGCCGGATTTTCCTGGTGAGGCAATAAAATGCGAACTTGAACTTCTTCCTTTTATTTTTGTATAAAGGCGAAGTCATTGACTAATAGACGTTTGCACTGACAGTGTGCATTTTGAAACACACGAAATGTAAGTTGCATTACTTTGCATTGAAGTGTTGGGTTGCCAACTTTTAAATTCAGCTTGGGTCGATCTCGATTCAATATCAATTCATGTGTATATACTGTAAAAAATAAGGGGATGCAAATCTTTTGTTGAATGCAGTTGAATGCCTTTTTAACACCATTTTAAACTTGTTTTAAATTCAGTATTTGCTTGCATTCATTGTGTGTAATTATGCAAGTATCATTAAAAAAGGATGTAGGGTGGGCCTAAGTTGTTAACTTTTTTAATTTCTCATTTAAAAATCTAGTGTTTAATCATGTCTAAATATTTATTCAAACGAAGAACTAAAAAAAAAAAGCAGGTATGACCTGCAATATTCTAGATATATTTAGTAAAGAGCCATACAGGTACCTAGTGGGTAAACCATGGCATTACAAATGAAAAAAAAAAAATTTCTGACCACAAAATGACTCTAATTTGCCTCTTTGCATTGGAATTTAAAACCCTTTTCTCTATTTTAACCTTAAATACTACACTAATTGTAATATAAGTAATAGAAATATTAGTAAACAATATTTTAAGTCATTAATGGACCATAATTATTGCACAAATAGTATGTATTACCAAAATATTTCCTCAAAATATTAAATAAATATTATTGAACTAAAATATACAACACTTATTTAACTGAAAAATAGTTAAGCTGTATGCAATGTTCACTACTGTAAGCAGTAAGCAATGTCTGAAGGTTAAGAAAACCATATTAATGTTGCTTCTCCATCACTCTCCAGAATAAAATGATACTGTAAATGTCATCGACGTAATAATCAATGCATAATATGCTGTAATGTTTACCAAAAATTGCTGCAAATACCTGTATAATGACGCTGTCGTCTATCCATTCTAATGTATTGTCAACGCTGGTTTGTTTGGAGAGCTCTATGAATCACGTGACCGCGTGGCGGCGACAACAGCGAGATCGAAGCTGGTCGCAACTCTGTTTTTCAATAGCTCTGGCTTTAACTGAAGCGCTACATTTTACGATTTACGCCAGATTAAGTGCGCCAAAACGGTGTTTATTGTTAGAATTTAGTATTAAAGTTTACAACAGTAGAAAGCTGAGACTTTGTTTCATATAGCAAGCAGGGTTGCCAATTTGGCGTGAGATTTACATGGGCAGATTGAGAGCGTGAGACAGAGCCTGGAAGCGTGTGTCTCACGCCAAATGCGTGAGAGTTGGCAACCCTTCAGTTATCCAGCTGG